ATCGCAGAAGCTCATGTAGACTACGGAGCAGGGAGCCCCACCTCCCGACAGCCCCTCAGAGCCACTGATCAGGTCTCTGCTCCCACGGTGTCCTTTGTCAGGACCCATCACAGAAGTGGAACCATACACTGTGCAAGCTTTTATGTCTTGACTTTTCCTCAGCATCACATGGTCAAGGTTCATCTGTTGTAATATGAATCAGAGCTTCATTCCTTTTGAAGGCCAAGTAATATTCTGTTGTGTAGACATACCACATTTTTTTTTCATTCAGCCATAGTGTTTCTTTGTATAAACCTTTGCTTAAAGGCCTGTTTTTCATTCTTGTAGGTGAATACCAAGAGTAGGATTGCTGGTTGCCATGGTAATTTTTGTAGTTTATGTGTTGTGTTTCTTATATCAGGGCCATCATTTTTCATTGCTATCAGGGTTCCAGGGTCTCCTCTGTACAGTGGTACATCCTTGGTACAGCCATTACAGTGGGTGTGGCATCTCCTTGGTATGATTTGCATTTCCCCGATGCCTAGCCACGTTGACCTGCTTCCTGGGGTCTTGCCCACTGAGGACTTATCTAGACTCCAGCTCCTTGATGGGCCAATGGGCAGCTCAGTCAGCTGGCTCATGTCCCCACTTTTTCAGGTCATGATGCAACTAGTCACCATGTTTTTGATACCACAGGCCTCTTCTGATCTTCACCTCCCCTTTTTCTCACCTCCCAATGAACTCTTTATCCCTTGAGGCTGATGCTCCTCCAGGAGGTCTCCAGAGTCGTCAGAGCTGCCTCTGGGTCTGCCTCTCTTATGACACTCATTTGCCTGTAGTGAGTTGACACCAGGGTGATCCAGTGGCACATGCAGGCTGCTCAGCCAACTCTTGAGATAGATACTTTGGGTAGCTCATGTCAGATCCCCTGAGAAAGTTCCTGGACTACTCGGGGATTGCTAAGGTAGAAGAAGGTAGGACTTTCTGGCTGAAGGCACTTTGATCTCACAGGCCCCTTCATAAAGAGAAAAGCAAACGTTGGCAGGCTTGGTCTAGAGATAAGTCTAGTCAGTTTGTTATGTATTCCTTGTTACATTAATTTTTTTCCTTCTGATTTAACACACACTTGTCTGATTTGAAAATATGGCGGTAGGTGAGCTTTGTGGCAAGGTCTGCAATTCCAGTTAATTGTGAGGCTGGGGCAAGAGGACTGCCAGTTCACAGCCAGCCTGGGCAACTTAATGAGGCCTAGTTTCAAAATATAAGTGGACCCAGGCATCATATCCCCTGCACCTGGGAGAGGCATGGCCCAGAGGGCAGCTCTTTGTGAGCCAATTCCTTTCTTGTCAAGGGAATCTCTAGGTTTTGTCCCTGGCCGAGAAGGGTAGGGGTCAGCCTGGTCTGGAAGCCTGTGGCTCTCTAGGTCTCCTCAGGATACGAAGGACAAAGCTCTACTGGATATGGCCCCATACTATGTGTGAGACTATTTATTTAATTAAACCCCAAATACCTGGACCCCTGCAAGCCATGTTCACGCTGTGTCTGCTGAGTGGACAATTTTTGGGTTGGTTCTAGGTGCCAGAGGCCTGCCTAGGAAGTACTCATTTAGAGGTAGGCTGTGTGCCAGCCTAGGCTGGGGGTGGGTGGGTCCAGGGGTCTGTTCCATGCCTTTCTGTTTTTGTACCTTCACTTCACTCTCCCCTATGTCCCCATCTCTGCTCTGTCCCTAAATCAACCTGATACTCTTAGGAAGACGCTGATGAGGTGACGAAGGTTCACCTGGTGTCTTAGTTATGGTTTTACTGCTGTGAACAGACACCATGACCAAAGCAACATTATAAGGACAACATTTATATATAGTTCGGCTGGCTTACAGGTTCAGAGGTTCAGTCCATTATCATCAAGGTGGGAGCATGGCAGCATCCAGGCAGGCATGGTGCAGGAGGAGCTGAGAGTTCTATATCTTCATCTGAAGGCTGCTAGTGGAAGACTGACTTCCAGGCAGTTAGGACAAGGGTCTTAAAGCCCATGCCCACAGTGACACACCTACTCCAACAAGGCCACACTTACTTCAACAGGGCCACACCTTCTAATAGTGCCACTCTTGGGCCATGCATATATAAACCATCATACCTGGATAACCCAAGTTGTCTTTCCCATCCCAAGATCCTTGGTAAGTTCCAAGGTTCTCAGCCCAGTTTGTGTTGCTGAAACACTGGGGATCTGGCTGTTGTTTGTTTTGTGCATGTGTGGAGGCAGGGGGGCAACCTTGTGTGTCATCCCTCAGGTCCTGGCCACCCTTTTCTTGAGAGCAGGTTTCTCTCTGCCTCGGAAAATCACGTTATGCTAGGTTGGATGGCTGTATCCTGTCTCTGTCTTCCCAGTCCTGAGATTACAAGCAAATGATTTTGTTTGTTTGTTTTAATGTGGAAAGCCTTTAATACCGTGCCAAGGCAAAGGATCATAATGGAGAGGGTCTGGTGAGGCTTAGCTGCTCACTCATGGCAGCCAGGAAGTTGAGATGGGGCAAGGACCCAGGGATAAGATGCCCCTTCAACCTCCCCTCCCCCCAGTGCTCACTTGTTCTAACCAGTCCCCACCTCCTGAGAGTCTCTTCCGATATGAACTTGTCCATGGAGTAACTCACTGATAAAGTTGGCACCTATACAATTACCCATTCATCTCAGTAGATCTACCAGCTGCTGACCAAATCTTCAATAGTAAGTGTTTTAGGAGTACACTTTAATATTCAAACCTAAATGGTAGCCCAGTAGCCCCAGGATACAGGAATTCTGCCCATAAGTGGGACCCTCTGTGTCCATGGTTTCTGCTCAGGCCAAGCACAGGGAATACGTGGGCACCATTCAGTAGTCCTGATGCCATTCTGATTCCTGATAGTCGCTATCACTGTTCTTGGCGGGGCGCCAGTGATGTTAACACAGTCTGGTTTGTGCCCAGTCTGGGTCATTCATGGCCCCTCCCAGGTTCCTAGCTCCCCTGGTGTCCTGACGGCCCAGATGAAGGTGTTTCCTCTTTGATATCTAGGCCTTTGTCATGAACCAAGTGTGACATCAAGGTTTTTCAGCTTCTGCATGGAGGCCGGAAACACGAGGAAAAAGGGCTGGGTGTGCCCACTGTGATCTCTTGCAGACCGTAAACATCAGCATGGGACTGGAACCTCTATTTCATAGAAGGGAGACTGAGGATCACAAGGGGTCCCCTTCTCAGGCCCTCTTCCTTCTAGCCCCTGTTGTGAAGGGCTGGTTCACCCTTCTTTTGGTTCCTCTGTCCTGCAGTTGATTGAAGGATGAGTGGTTGGTGGTCTAACTCTCCTGGAGGTGGACTGTTTGTCCTTGTAGGGAAGGCCTCAGGGAGACTCCTCAAACCTGGAGGAATTGCAAATGTCTGACTCGGTCATTTTGTTTGGTGTTCTAGAATTATCTCACGGGTATGTGTATGTGGGGGAGGGGAAGAGGTCATGAAGGTCTCCAAACTGGGACACACTTTATTCCCTGGAGTCAGGAAGGAGCTCATGATTTATTTGGTACCTGCCCATATAGCTGGTGTTCAGAACAAGACGGGGTGTTCCAAACCCTCCCTGGGGTCCAGAGATTGGCCAGGGCTTTAAAGGGTAGGAAAATGAGAAGACACAAAGTGAGTTTTGAAAAAGGTTGGGGTATCTGCAGAAGAAATGTGTGTGGGGAACTGTCTTTGAGGAAGGTGACCCAGGCCCGTGCTCCTTAGCACAAATCCTGTGGCTGCCTGAACAAACTACCACAAAGTGGGGGAACCCTAGATGTTCTCAGGTTTTTGGAGGCAAGAGAATTCTGAAGTTGAAGTGTCTGTGGGATACGTTGTCTCAGAGTCCTGTTGTGGAGTTACCACCATCTCTGGAGCTGCTGCGTGGTAGAGATGTATTATTCCAGCCTCCACCCACACATGATGGTCCCACCAGTGTATGTCTCTGCCTCAGTCCCTTTTCTTGTAATGACACTGGCCAGACTTGACAAGCTAAGGACCTCATCTGAACACAACCCATGTGCAAAAGCTCATTTCCAAATGAGGCCTCAGCTCCAGACACTTGTGCTGGACACACTGTATTTCCCTGTGGGGTGTGTGGGGTGGAAGCATGGTTCCTAGTCCTCTTTTGTTTTCTAGATACCTGTAAGGCTGACAGCCATTGTCCCCTGGCTTTATGATTATTTAATATTAAAAAACATTAATAGAGTATTAAGAATAAAAAATTAATACAATATTAATTACCTGTGTGTAAGAGAGAGAGAGAGAGAGAGAGAGAGAGAGAGAAACAGAGACAGAGACAGAGAGACAGAGAGACAGAGAGACAGAGAGACAGAGACGAGATAGACAGACAGCTTTCAGGAGCCAGTTTTCTCCTACTATGTGGGTTTCTGGGATTGAACTCAGATCCTCAAGCTTGGTAGCAAGCACCTTTACTCATGGAGCCATCTTGTCAGCCCTGCTATATTTTTTAAAATTTTATTTTATTTTACTTTGAGGCAGGATCTCAAGTAGCTCAAACTGGCCTTGAATTTGCTATGTGGTTGGAAATGAACTTCTGATCCTCCTGAAGTGCCTGGGTTACAGATGTGCAGCACCTCTGTGACTCAGCCCCGTGGGCAGGGACAGTGAATGGAGAGGAAAGGCAGGAAGCCGGCTCCCTGGCAGGGAGGATTCCTGCCAGGCAGTGTGTCTGGGTGAGGCGACCTGGGTTGAGATCCTGATCCAGCCCCACCTCTCTGTCAAGGGCCCAAGTCGCCTGGGAGTCATGTGGCCAGTGACAAGGCTGTCCTGAGTCTGCACAGAGCTTTCCTTGTAGCCTAGGATGCTCAAAACACATGGTGACATATGGATGTGTTGAAAAGTTAGAGCCATACAAAATGTCCGACCAATCAGTTTCCCCAGGCTCTTTGCACATGTGCACCTACCTGTGTGTATGATGGCTTGCGCCTGTCAATCAGCTGTCCTCGAAGTCCCAAGGCGATCTCTGCCTCTTTCCACAGGTCTCCGTGCTGGTCCTCTTTGCCCTGGCCTTCCTCACCTGTGTCGTCTTCCTGGTTGTCTACAAAGTGTACAAGTATGACCGCGCCTGCCCTGATGGGTTTGTCTTGAAGGTAAGGCCTTGCATGCCCACCCCACCCCCGGCTTCCAGGATGCCTTTGAACCTCTTTCCTCCCCAATCTTAGGGCCTTATAGCAGCAGGCTGTGCACCTTCAGTGAGAAGGTCCTCACTGAAGACCCTGCCTGGGCAGCCAGGCTTGTCCCTGGGGAAGATATCCCCCAGGGGTGGGGGTGGGGCAGAAAGTGCCAGTCTGACATTCCATTCAGTACCTGGCAGGAGTAGGGTCCAATGACCAACAGGAAAGCCCTGCCCAAACTACACAAAGGGGACCACCTGCCTACAGGTTGTTCTTGGGTTCTCCTGTGTGTTCTGCTGCAGGGGCCATGTTGGCACCTGCACCCATGGAAATGTGCTCTCTGCTTCCGTGCCTCCTTCCCATGAGCCTGCTGTTGGCACAGATGCATTTACATAGGACTAAGGAAGCAAAACTGGAGGGAGGGAAGATAGGGCGGAGATAGGAGATGGAGCAGAGCAGAGGTGTAGCCCACTTGCTAGAGGCTTCCATGTCTCATTCGCTCTGGTTCTGAACTTTCCAGAGCTGGTGCAGGCTTTGGCACTGCTCAGGTGTGATCAGAGCAGGCACTGAGAGTGTGTGTTAGCCTGCACCGCATGTGTGGATCCTTGCTGGATGGATGTGTCTGGGGTTTGCTGACACTGCAATGCCTTGGCAGAGCAAGTTAGAAGAGCTCAAAGTTCACGTACCGCAGACAGGACCTCCTTCTCTACCTTTTACACACTACAAGGTCCTTTGGGGCTTCTGCCTTTCAGTCCTTCCTTCCTCTGGACTGTAGATACCTGCCACATGAGAACACTGGTTGCTAAGTAAGCTATACCCAGGAGCAAAGAGCCCACCTTCCCAATGCCTTCTGGCTCAAGAAACATGAGACAGGCAGGTGGGCAGGCATGTGTGTACACTGAGTGAGGAGGACTTGGCATGGAGTATGGGAGTCTGCCCTTTCTAGAAGGTGGTCCACACTGGGAAAGCTTCTGGAACATAGGGCAAAGTAGGAGATGGAGAGGTAGAAGGTGGACTGGGGTATGCTTGGTGGCGTTTAGGAGAGTGGCCAAAGTACAGCAAGACTGTACACTGCTCAGCACCCTGAGCTCCTAGCAAAGGCCCCAGAAAAGGGTGTGTGATGAGGATGCTCCCTTGGGTCACCTGGACACTGGGAGAGGCAGATAGTGTGCTGACAGAAGAGGCTGCTGCAGTGGGGCAGGGATGAGAGGGTCTGGATGGCTGACACAATGGGGATGGAGACGCAGACCCGTGTGACAGTAGACAGACAGGGAGACTGAATTAGGGAGGCCATGAGGGACAGATGAGGACCACCTGGCCTGAAGCTGGGTGACTCAGGCTGATCATAGTGGGCAGTGGCACCTCTGTGGGAAACAGGATTGGTAGGAGATAGCTCCCTACTGTAGCCACTGTCACAGATGACGGTCCAGGACTTCAACCACAGATCTGTCCTGGGTTTTCTGCCTGGCCCATTGTCTCTGGTCTGGGGCAGGCTCCTTGCCCAGCACAGTGAGAAGCTAAAACTGTTGGTTCCATTCAGCAAATCCAAGTTCTGCGGGAGAAGCTGGTACAGAAATGTGACGATGAAGAAGATGGAGGCCTGGTCCCAGGCTGACTTCAGCTCAGATCCCTAGCAGTGTGGGAGGAGACGGGATCTGAATGTAGAAAAGGCTCTACAGGGATTGCTGTCCACACTCCCTTGGGAATCCAGAACTACACAGGTAGTTCTGGAGTGCATTGCTGTGGGCCTGTACATTTTCCAGTAGTGTTTTAATGGCAGCAGGTGGTGGTGGTGATCTGGATGATACAGCGAGGTGGGTGGGGGAGGCTTTCCTCCTTCCCTGCATTCAGGCACACATACATTCCACATCTACCTGGGCCAGAGGGCTGGTCATGAGGTCTGTGAGCCACACTTGTCCTGGATAGCCACCTACAGACCTTAAGGGGGTGCCTCTTCCCTTTTACCAACGGGAAACAGGGTTCAGAGGCTCTTTGTCATGCCCAAGGCCATGCTGTCAAGATCCTTCAACTCTTCAGCATGTATTATCTGGGGGCCTCTGTAAGTGTACCAGCTGAGCTGGGGAATCTGCAGGACAGGATGCCTGGGGGTGGAGGGAAGGGAACCCCAGAAGCCTGGGTCTTACCAAGCAGCCAAATGGCCAAGCTGATTCTCAGTCTTACCAAGCTGAGAAGTGTGCAGAAGCAGATAAAAGGCAGACAGCACCAGGGTCATGATGTGTGTGTGCCTTCAGTCCTAGCACTCAGATGGAAGCAGCCTGGGCCATAGGAGATCCTATTCGTACTCCACAGTAATCCCAGCCCAGGCCATTTGACAGTCATGCTCCTTCCACGACATCCACACAGGTGACTTGATTTCTTTTTTACCAAAAGGGTGAGTGAGAACCTTTCTCCACATGGGTACAGACTGAATGAGCACCTGTGCCCCCAGCTCCTTCTGAGGTTCTTGACACCATCAGCCCCTCAGAGGGCCTCTCAGCATCTTCTAGTGGCCATGTTATGTGGGAGGTGTCAGACAATACCTGCTGTCCTCTCAGCCAGGCGCCTGGATGGCTGGGCCATTTCCCAGCTGCTCCTGGATGCCCACGCCTGCCCTGATGTCTTGCTCCTTGGGTCTTGGATACATGCAAAACTTTAGCAGGGTCCTGTGCTGTGTGTGTGCTATACTGGACAGGAGTCCTTCCTGCAGCCTTCCTCCCACTTCTCCAAGGACTGGAAAGGGGTATGGGCCAGGACAGAGCGAGGGTGGAGCTGCAGGCTAGAGGAGCTGCATCAGCTATATTCTTAGATGGCCTACATAGCTGTTTTCTTCTGTAGCATAGAGGCTTTCCTTGTGCCAGGCTAGGGTCTAGACTACTCTGGAGGGTGCTTGGAGTGTTTGATCTTTTCTGTTTATCATCTTTGGCCCCACACCCTGGCTTCTTTCTAAGCTGTCCCATCCTGACTTCCATCCTTACAGGGGAAGCAGCCAGGCTGTGGGGCACATTAGCCCTATTATAAAGATGAGGGGACTAGGGCTCTGAAAGACCACTTGAGATCTCAGCTGAGACTATGGTTTGAGCCCAAAGCTAGGTTTTGTCTGTAGCAGCCGGCTTCAGGCAGTGCTAGCCCCTGGGATGCTGTACCCTCTATTGCTTTGTGGTCTCTTCTGAACTAGCTCTCGGCACTCCCGGGAGCCTGCAGGCATTTCTAAGCTTTATACTTTAGGGTCTAGTGAGCTGCTGAGACCCCTCTCCACAGGCAAGGGCTGATACTTTATATCATTATCTACCTGACCAGAGGTGGAGACACTTTTGAGAGGCTCAGGGGTTGACAGCTCAGAAAGGACACACAGGGCAGAGTCTGAGCTGTTAGAGGTGTGGCCTTGAGGATGGAATCACGGTTGTATTTTCAGATGATCCTGAGTGCTCACTGGGCCCTGCACTGTTACCATTCATAACCTTCCCAGACCCCAGTGATGACCCACAAACCCTGCATGCTGCCAGCTCTACCAAGATTCTTTATATTCTGCCCTATACATCTCCTGAGGAGGAGGCCAGTTGGACCTTGGTGAGTGACCAGTAGGGCTAAGTTAATTACTGCCTGTGGATTAGGCTGTGTCAGGTTCTTAGCCACCTGCTGACCACTCTCCACAGTCCCAGGCCCTACACCATAACAGACTCTGAAGTTCTTAGGAGAGAGGGCTCACTCTGAAAGAACAGGACCTTCCGTAAGTAGCTTCCAGATTTGCCCAGACAGCTGCTCTCCACGACCATGGCCGCCTTTCTCCATCAGCCTCCTTCAGACTCAGTCCTGTGACACCAAGCAGTAGCAGAGTGATGTCAAGTAAATCTGGATTCAGAGGGCGATACTGCATCCCGGCTCCAGTGGCCTCTGGCTGAATAAGGACCACACTGCAGACAGCGCCCTGCATCCTGGTTCCATTCATACTCACACATGGCACACAGGCATGAGTGCATGTGCACACACTTGAGGCCAAGTCAGTCTTGTGATCTTACGTCTCAATTACCTTTCCCTGTCCTCTTTTAAGACAGGGTGTCTCACTGAACCTGGCAGCCAGGGATTAGAGGTGTTCCATCTCACGCTCCCACTGTGCAGGTCTGAGCCACCCTGACTGCTCTATCTCTACCTCTGTGGTTGTGAGGGGTTGGCAGTATGGGAGTTGCTGCACCAGGAAGTATAGGTGGCCTGCACACATGAGGTCATATGCATCAAGGCAGGAACTCACAAGTGCTGGCTGGACTGAAGATGCCAGTGGCAGATTCTGGAAAAGAACAGGTTGGACCCATTGTGGGTAGAGATGATGGAAAGGTCTGTTTCACATTTTTTATGCTCTTGAGTTGGGTGGGGAATCTGGGATCAACACCCTGGATGGGTGGCCCATCTGTGGTGGCAGACAATGACAGGAGGTCCCAGCTGGAGCTGTGTTTCCATATCTGCTTGTGTGGTTCCTCTATCTGCTTGTGTGGTTCCCTTATCTGCTTGTGTGGTTCCCCTATCTGCTTGTGTGGTTCTCATATCTGCTTGTGTGGTTCCCATATCTGCTTGTGTGGTCCTCATATCTGCCTCACGAAGCCTCTTCATCTCTCTAGGCTCCACTTTTCCACCTATGAAATGGGCTGAGTGGCATGAACTGAGAGTGAGAGTGGCATGAGTGAGAGAGCTGGCCTGAAAGTACTCTAAAGACCTGGGTGTAGCAAAAAAGAAGGCCATGTGTGGGTGCACACTGCCATCCCTCCCTTCCTTCACTGTACGAGGAAGGAAAGAAGGCTTGAGGTCTGTAGGACATTCTCTAGGGCAGGGCATCCAATTGGGTTGTCCCATGAACCTGCCCTTGGCTTTCTGACTCAGGCAACAGAAAGTTCCTGGGAACTACTTGCTGATATCCTGGGCTACCTGCCTACTATACTGACGAGCTAACCTGGGTTTGGAGCTGGAGGAACTAGGCCATCTGAGAGGAGAGGGAGAGCAACTCAGCATTGTGTGTACTAGCCAAGGGCTGTGGTGCTGAACTCCTCAGGGAGACACCAGGAATAAAGATGGCCTCAGCACAGACCTGCTAAGCTACCCTAGACTTAAAGAGACGAGTGTCTGGGTCTAAAGCTCCCAAATGACAGGCTTCCACCTCTGACTCAACTGTGGGGTCTTGGATTCTCATCTGTGCAGGCTTGGTATGACAGGGTTTGGATGGCTGGACAGGATGGGATACTTACTGCCGGTCTCAGAAGTACAAATGGAAGGCAGTAGAGGGAGTCAACCGTCTGGAGTTCTGGGTCCATCTGTCCCTGCCCTGTGGCTTTGGGGATTTTGTTCTCTAGGCAGTCAGAGATGGCTGAGAAGGGGAGATGTGGACACTGGCGGGGACAGCTGTTCTTTGGGAGCCATCCCCAAAGCTGCCTGTTACAGCCATTCAGATTCTCTTGGCTTGGTGCTAGTTACATGGCCTTACAGGGCTGTAAGGCAGATCAGAATCGTGGGTGCATTGGCTGGATTGGCTGGTATGCTAATTGAATGGCTCAGCTTGGAGGATGGCCTGCAGGAAGCAGCTAGTTCTCTCCTCCTACCATGGAGCTCCTGAGGATTGAACTAGAGTTGCCAAATTTGACAGCACCTTTACCCACTGAGCCATCTCACTGCCTGCCCACAGAAAGCCCTCCTCAGTGCTCCTCCTATTTCAGCTGGATTGTTTGTAGGCGTGTCAAAAGTGTCCTTGCTTCTAATAGATGAGTGTGAAGGGAGGCACACTGCCTGTTACCTCTATCCTGGGAGCCCACTGCAGCACTGCCAACTTCTACACAGCTGTCTCTCTGAGGGCAGGCTGCACCCCTCTGTCCATGTTAGTGTTTCTTCCTGCAAGTTTAGGGGAGATGCTTAGGAGCTATTGGCGGACAGTAACTACAGACACATGCTGGCATGCCCTTGTATCTACTACATCTCCACGGCCTCCTGTCTTCCAGAACACCCAGTGCATCCCAGAAGGCTTGGAGAGCTACTACACGGAGCAAGACTCCAGTGCCCGGGAGAAATTTTACACTGTCATAAACCACTACAACCTGGCCAAGCAGAGCATCACCCGCTCCGTGTCACCATGGATGTCAGTTCTGTCAGAAGAGAAGCTGTCGGAACAGGAGACTGAAGCTGCAGAGAAGTCAGCTTAGCGAGCAGGGCAGGTTCCTTACAATGTGTCACTTGAAGGCAACAAAGGGACTTTGAGGGACATTTCATTAAATATAATTACCGATAATTTAGAGATTACTCATTTACGGTGCAATTGCTTCTGTTTGCTAATGCTGCTTTGCAAATAAAACTTGCTGCGGACCACCCACAGGCATAAGAACAAGTGCATCTCAGCATTGCTTAGAGAGCTTGATGCCACTGTCGATGCTGAGGAGTCTTCATTTAGCTCCTTCACTGGGATTCACTGGATACTGTCAAAAGGCAACTTACACTGGCTATGCCAGGGGTCTGGCCATCAGAACAGTGCATTTGGTGGTTTCCTGTTTTCTTTTATGCCCCTTTGCTATCTGCAGACCTTACTCCATAGCCATATCTAGAGTGATCCCGTGCTTTGCTGGTGGCAGTGCTGACTGCCAAGATGCACTGTTGAGCGGCGCAGAGAAGGGAAGGTGTGCACCACGACGCAGCCCTGCCAGGCAATTCTGGGTGGTTTTCTTTGGTGTGTCCCCTGAGCAGAGCACAAGGATGGGGTGGGAGAGGAGCCGGCTCTGGGCCAGGGGGTTGCCGAGCCTGTTTTTCTGTGGGTGGGCTGTCTGCTGGTAATGTGGTAGATAGAAAGAAAACCCACTGGCTCTTTTCTTTCCTGTTATGAATATATTTGCACGTACAGCCCTGAATGCAGGTGCAGTTTTGGTTTTTTGCTTTATTAGCCAGTGGGCAAAGTGAAATGTAATTTTGGGTAAGTCAGGGCTACTTTAGCTTTTCTTCTGTGAACAGATGTGACTCCTGTGCTGTGGGAAGGGGGCAGGACGGCTGGTGGGGGGCTGATGTGGCACCTTGCAAATAGAATATCTAAGTCCACAATCTTTGTAACAAAAGTATGTTTATGTTTCAATCTGAATCTTGACATTAAAGTATATGTTTACAAAATCACCAGTAGGTAAACTAAATGTGTAAGACAATTAAATAGAAAAAGCGATTCCTGATTGTTTTCTTCCATGTTCTCACAATGTGTTGTGTCTGGTGGGCATGTCAGAAGTCTCAGCGTTCTTTAGTAGGTCAGAAATAAATGGCAAAATAGTCTGAGACCTTTGTGAACAAGCATGGTGACCGCCATCAGCTCCACTAGTGTGTCCTGTGGTGCGTGACAGGGACAAAATATTTTATTGTTGGGGTGTTCTGAAACAAAGACCATGAGCTTACCCCAGGGGTAGGGTCACACAGTCCAGAGCTTGCAGTGCACTGGGAAGCTGTAAGGAATGCATAAAGAGCAATAAACAGGTGCCAAAACTTGTCTAGAGAGGGATCTGACTCACAGACCGTGTGCGTGCAGTAGGCAGGCCCACTGTGTTTTCTAGGGTAGCCCCTTTACCCACTGTGAACTCTCCCAATGTAACTTCTCACATTCACTCTACGAATAAAGAGCTCGTGGGTCCCTGAGCTGCACACTGGACTGTCTGTACTTGTGTGCTTCAGCAGGAATTGTGCGATCCAGGATACATCTATACACAGATGCAGGCCATGTGCCATAGACTTCTAGTTCTCAAGAGACATCCCTGAGGCCTCTTCTAGAAGGGCAAGTAAGCAGGAGCAAAGGCAGACGGCCTACTCTTCTGAGATCCACACCCTTCTTGGAACACAAATTTCCGGGACCCAGTGGCAGGAAATAAGGCTTCGCGTGCCCCTAGGCCCTAGCTTTGCTGTTAACAAGCTGGGAGCCAGGTCAGGAGCCAGGCCTAGTGGAGGGCACCAGAGCCTGCCTGTCCAGCAGATGGTGGCCAGAGGGGCTCAGTGAAGACTCACTGACTGCAGTAAGTGCTGTAATTGCATTTATTAGCTTGACAAGGCAGCTGTGAATTATTTTCTATGACAAAATGGCCACGTATCAGCACACATGAGATGACACAAGGAAATAAGAACTGATGACTTTAGAAACAGGCACGTTCTCCCCTGAAGCTACTGGTGTGGGAAGGGCAGGAGATGGCCCCAAGCCTGTAGTGAGGACAGGAGGCGTGCCATACCCTTGCGCTGCGCAGCCCCCACCATGCTTGTGGCCTGTCCTGACAGTGTAGCTCTGACTAACTTTATCTTCCACCCTGAAGACTATATAGGACACTTGCAACCCATGTATTTCCAGGTCCTGAGAGGTTCCAAAGGTTGGCTTGGGGGCCATGTTTTCCCAACCCTTGGACCTTACACAGCTCCATAGCAGATGAGACACATGCTGGCACATGGTGTGTCCAAGGCAGTGGTGCAGGCGCAGGCGCAGCCCTGGTGGGCTAGCTGTCATACCAGTCAAGGAAGAGCAAGGAAAAGGAACACATCACGAGGAAGAAGAGGATCCACACTCGGAAGCCTGCATTGTTTTTGATGGCCTGGCAGGAGGAACACAGGTATTAGCTCCACCCTGGACTGGTTCAGAAGCCCTAGGTGCCTCGAGTACACCTCTGTGAATCCCATGCTCTCATCAGATAGGTAGGAACAAAAGCCACTGTGTGTGAACACCTGACAGAGAACAAAGGCCTTGCATTTCATTTTTAAAATTACATTTATCTCGATGATGGGTAGGTGGGAATGCATGCCATGGTGTATACAGGTGTAGAGTTAATTCTCTGCTTTTACTATGTGGATTTCAGAAATCATAATCAGGTCTTCCTGCCTGGCAGCAAGCACCTTTATCTACTGAGCCCTTTTGTCTGCTCTGTCTTTCTCTTCTTTTGGGCAAAGTCTAACCTCCCAGGACTCAGTTTCCCAGGGCCCACTCCCATTTGAACCAGGGCTTGGGTTTTCCAGTGATGCCCATCTATAGTGACATAGGGACAACCAGGAGCTCTGGGATTTAGAGACAGTTGACCCATAAGGCTAGGTGCCTTCCACAGTTAGTTTCTGGGGTCCTGTCCTCTGTGGGCTCATCCTTGGTTTCAGATTATCCTGACCCTACTTGGATACTCTCCTACCTGCTGTCCTTGCAGGGATGGAAGCTACTTTCTCTTGAGAATCAGCTGGAGGTTAGCCAGGTCTTATGAACACATGCTCTTAGGCTGGCACTGACTATAAACCTATGGCTATAAATTCTGACCGCTACGCTTGGACAGCCTCACTAGAGAGATATAGGCTGCTGAGACACAGTGCTGAGCCACATCTGACCAGAAAGCACCAGGTACCCACCTCTCGTATGTCTTCGTTGCCTTCCTTAATATTTTCAGTTGCCCCCACAACTAACTGGTGAATACTGTCGATCTCAGTTTCCTGTGGGGGGAAAGAATATCAGGGAAACTCAGCCATTCTTTCCTCCACCAAGAAGACATTCTTCTGCAATTACTTGCCACCATGTTCCAAGGTCTAGAGGCTGCACCTACACAGCCTGGGAATCTTCACCCAGAGAGGTGGGCCTCACCCATCACAGAGGGAATTTATGGTTCAGAGGTGTTTACTGGCTTATAGAAGGTCAAATACTGTCTGAGTGGCAGGACTAGGATAGGGCTCTTGTCAGGCTGTACAGCTCATACTATCTCACCTGTGTCACTCATCAAGTGACAAGGGCAAATATGAATTGCTGATTCTGGACTGGCCACTCCCACCAAGGGCTCTCCTCCAGCATTCTGTTCACTCTTTCTAAGGTCTAGAAGCCAGCTTCATGATGTTATAGGCTTTCAAACACATCAGCCATCCAAACAGCTTGTTTGAACACATTGCTAAATGGGTAAGAATTACAAAAAGACATGAATCGCTGGCCGCAAATGCTCTGGGTAGATGCTGAGAACTTAGCAGTAGGGGATGCTGGTCTCTGTTCATGAGACAATGCTACTGGAGATCTTACCACAGCAGCCATGTGGTACTGTTTTTAGTCTTCCTGCCGAGGGGAGGGGAAGCATGCTCTAATGTGAGCTTTAGGGAACCCTTCCTGGTATAATGCTATAGAAAGGAAAGCAGCCTCCAATCACCCAGTTCCCAGGAGAGACATCACTCGAGTACACATGGCACATGGGCCAGGGGATGTGGGTAGTGACACACTGTGGAGGAGGAGCTGAGGAATCTGCCATAAACAGCCCGCAGCACTGACATAGACACAGTTGTCTAGGCCTCACAGTTCAAGGGTCCCTTGGTGGACTCCAGAGGGATAGCAACCTCATAAAGCGCTATACCACCCCCCCACCCTCTCAGGGCAACTCTCTTCTTTCTCAGTCATGCTGTTTGCCTAGGTCTCTGGAGTAGTCACTGCAGTGGCAGCTGATGTTCCCTGTTAGAAGGCTGAATACTGGAGCCTAAGAGACTGTGATTCCCTTTCCTGTATGGCCAGCCAAGTGTGTCACTGGAGTACCATGTAGAGGACATATTCATGGTGGCATATGTGGTGTTACTAAAGTAGGGCATACCTGGCTTGGTCAGAGTCCCACTGAAAGGCCTGCCATGGGCCAGGCAGGTCAGTGAGGCATGAACACTGGCTGTACTTCAGATAATGGGGCTTAGGAGAAGTACTGGCCACAGCACACAGGATGGAGTGTCCAGTCTGCAGCTTGGTCACTCTAAGAGCTGTATGCTTCAGCCAAGGCGACTCTCATCAAAGCAAGCTACCGTGCCAGGAACCTGCTCTGATGGCTTCCTCTGTCATGCAGCCATCAGGCCAAGGGTCTGCACAAACCCTGTCTCCAGGGTTCACAGCCTTCACACATGTGGCGTGGGTAGATCTTTAAGATACTTATGAAGAGGCCTGGAGAGATGGCTCAGCAGTTAAGAGCACTGACTTTTTCCACAGGTCCTGAGTTCAATTCCCAGCAACCACATGGTGGCTCACAACCATCTGTAATAGGATCTGACGCTCTCCTCTTTTGTGTCTGAAGACAGTACAATGTACCCATATAAATAAAATAAATAAATCTTTTTTTCTTCTTTTAAAAAAGATACCCATGACTCTCACTTTCATGACCTCATACTCCAACTGTTGTTAGCTTATACCTTACCCATGTTGACTCAATCTGCTGTGAGGCTCAGACACTTGTGAGTGAGCCATCCCAGAGAGAAGAGAAAGGTATTGTTTACTCCTCAGCTCACCTGGGAGCAATCCTATCCCTATCAGCTGTGCTCCAGGCGGCAGCATGGGCTGGCTGAGAAACTGTACCTAGATTCTGGAGCACAGTGGATTGAAAAGCAGCTCTGCACTCTGCACTCTGCACTGTGCAGGGCTCTTCTGTGCTGACCTGTGAACACAACAGCAGTCCTGCGGTCTCATCCCTTTCTACAGATGGGGGGTGATGGTGTGGAGGGGCTGTGTGGCTCCCAGTCCTGGACTGCACCCACCCACTACCACCAGATGCTCTAGCCTAGAGGGTTGCTGTGGGGTGACTGGAAGCTTTGCCAGCATCCTCTGAGTGGTGTGACTGAGTAACAGAACGTGGTGCTGTCAATCTGCATCACTAAGATGCTTCTGGAAGAGGGCTCTGAACAATTTGTCAGTCTCAAGTCAAAATTCAAAACTGCTGGGCCTCTGGGTCCTTTTACCTGTTGCAAAACCTTTTCAGTGAATATCTCTTGGAGTCTGGAAATTTCAACAACTTTCCCTTCAATTTGCCTTAAAGAAAGAACGGACAGTGACATGTTAGCTGTTAGTTCCTGGTAATCTAAGATGATAGTACATATTTCTGAAGGAAACATTAAAGTGATGTCGAAAGAGGACAGGCAGCCATGCCAGACAGGAGGAGGAGCTGGATGCACCATGCGTCCTCTGCATAGCCTAGTTACCTTGTGATACATACTGGAGAATCAAAGGTCACTTCAAAAGCCCATCTTTAAAAATGTACATTTCCCTCTCAAGCCAGCTCCTTATGGCAAGAAAATGTTCCAGTTCAGTCTGTGATCACCCCATCTGGTTTAGCAACTAAGTGCTCGGCCAACCTGAAACATTGGGTGAGCCCTTTCCACCATGGGGTGGGCTAGGGCTGAGGGTCTGAGAGTGGGAGCTGGCTCAGGCTGACCGTCACTAGTGCAGCACAGCTGGGATGATTCAGGGGCAGGAGAAAGGTGTGAGCGGCGAGGGGAGCTGGAGTTCCCTGTACAGCACGTGGGAAGGGCAGACAGGAGAGAAGGAGCAGTATCAGGGCGTGGACAAGGAACAGCAAGGTAAGGTGGGTGGGCAGAAGGAGGCCTGAGAGAGCTGCCTCTGGGACAAAATACCTCTGGGGCTGCCCCAGGGAATACTCCTACCCTGAGTAAGTCTCCAGGCTGGGAGGGGCCACACCCTGAATGGCCTAGGAGTGTGCAAAGACTCAGCTGTTGCTTCCACAGCCTGCAGCACTCCTGTGGAACACAGTCCCTTGAAGTTCACTGACAAGTGGGTGTGAGCCTGGTCACCTGCAAACAGGCACTCCTGGGACAAGCACCTTTCACAAGGCCCCCACTGCCACTCCACCCAAGAAGCCCTGTGCTGGGTATGGTTCCACATTTGGGGTAAACTGTCTTTAGTGTGTGCTCTTTCTGCATGCTACAGCACCCACAAGCTTACTGTAGCAGCCAGTCTCCTCTCACAGGCCCAGCCCTGCCCTGTTACATGTGGGTGCCTGGATGCCAAAGCAAGTGGAAAAAGGCTCCAGTATCTGGGAAAGCTGTCATCAAGCTACTAGCTATATACATACCTCACTTCATCAAATAAGCTGTTCATTTCACCAATGAGTCGCTGATTTTCTTGTTCAAACTGCAAAGAAGCACACACACTCAGAATGCTATCAGATGGGACTCAAGAAAGGGGCAACAAGGAACCTTTGACCTTCCACCCACCTTCTAAGGATCACTGCCCAGTCCCATTGGCCAGCACAGGGTATTGCCAGAAGACTGACTGAAAAATATCGTACTTTGGGAAGAAAATGTTAGCCAGCCTGAAGACCAATTGTGTGCTACACTAGCTTCAGAGTCCTCCAGGGTCTGACCTAAGGAGCAGCTGACACCTAGACTAGCCCTGGGCAGAGGAAGCTACGTCTGCAGCTTCAGACACATACTCTGCTGCTATTCCACTGATGCCACCCATCTCCAGGTGCAGCACTTTAGACAGAGAACTTGGTGTGGGGAGACTGTGGGGCAGAGGCTGGCAGGCTCCTTGGCTTGTGACAAGGACAGACCTGTGACCCTCAAGGGCCTTGTGTGACAGCACCAGGGTTGCCCATTGCCTAGAGGTAGCACTACTGCCCTTTTAGAGTAAGCCTCAAACCTGCTTCATACTGGCCTGTCCTAACATTCTTTCTGTGGAGGAAAGTCCAGATCTTGAGCAGAACACTCTGAAAAGAACTCAGGTAACACATGGCTCCTAGCGTTGGGCTCAGTACCCCACTTCCCATGACACCAGTGTACTGCTTTCCTGTTGGTTCTACCTGGCCCAGTAGAAGAGGCCTCAGGTACATATTATCTGTGATCCAGCCAATGTCACCTCTGATGGCAGTCTCAGCCACTTCCAACAGACACAGGTGCATGTCACATCACCCCTCCCCTCCCACCCCATCTCTTCTGACTGCCTGGGGACTCCAGGACAGGTGCCATGTTAAGGCCCAGCCACAGAGCAGATGGAAGCACTTTCTCTGGATTTCCACTGCGTGCAGCTTCACTGTGACATTCTTAACTTGTTCAGGGACCAGCTTCTCTCAAGGGCAGAGCCACCTTTCTTCTTTAGTCCCTAAGCCCCACACAAACCCTGCTGCCCATCAGACACAAAGAGGCCTCATTCTACCCTAGACATATCAGATCAGAAAATGGGAATGGAAGAAAGATGGGGTCATTCCCAGCAGGACCACTTGAGTCATAGCAGGCTGCCTCACAGACTGTGGAGACAGTATTGCTAATGGCTCTTTTCATTAGGCATCACAGAGACCAGGTAAGAGAATAAAACCTTCACTTTGAGTCTGAAGGCATCAGCTATTAACTGTCCCCTCAGCAGTGACTTATGAGGCCAGTATTTCCTGAGCATGTGTAATTACTTCAGTTATAGGTGCTAATTTACATGCACCAATTCCCTCAGGTATGCTCAGTTTGTTTTCCAGGGAGGCATTTCCTTTCTTTCTTTTTTCCCTAATGATAAAATATGGTCTTGCCCTTTTAAATCTTGTCCTTAGATACTTTGAAACTGTTCCTAAACACGATTAACTGTCAGTCTAGGTGACTTACTACTGGAATGCTGCCTGGGAACACAGCCCCCTGGTTTCCTCCAGCTCATCCTGAGCGACAGGACTGTGCTGCCTTTCTAAGCCCCAGCAGATGACACTTCTGAAAGCATCACACGGGCTCCAGCAGTCAGGCAAAGGCATAGGTTTCCCTGACCCCAGGAGTTCTGTATGCCATCTCAGAAATACCTGGCCTTTCAAGCAGCAGAAGCAGATGCCGCAAGCCATCCCATGTGGTAAGGGGTGGAGAGGGCTCGGATAGTGCTCAGGAGCTTCAGTGGAGAGCAGCTTCCAGCACAGGGCAGGTAAAACAAGCAGACAGACAAAACCCTGTTCTCCTAAACCAGTGGTTCTCAACCTTCCTGCAACCCTTTAATACAGTTCTTGATGTGGTAATGACTCCAGACCATAAAATTATTTTGTTGCTACTTCATAATAACTTTTGCTATGGTTATGAATTGCAATGTAAATGCCTATGATCTCTGATGGATTGTGAAAGCAATGTTGGAGCCCGAAAGGCAGCATGACCCATAGTTTGAGAACCACTGCCCCAGCAAAGTAAGGTCACCACTTACTGAAGTCCAACAGGGCCCAAGCACAGACATTCACTGGCACTGATTTTAGAGCAGTTTTCTGAATGACAAGCCTGTCCCAAAGTTTGGGTAGTGGCAGGGGTTGCCATGTTGGCCATATACCTCACGGTACAGAAGCCAGGTGTGAGAGCTCATGAAAATAGTTAGGTGGTCCTAGCCAGTCAGCAACTTTGTGATGGCCATCAGTTTCTTTGTGGACAGCTGTGAGCCTTATTCCTCCTTGACACTGAGGTATGAATTCACAGCTGGAACCGCAGCCCCTTCACCTCTGAAACTGTATGTCTTTGGGCAGGTAAGTAATCCAACAGCTGTCCTTCCAACAGGTGCCTTTGTCAACAAAATGGGAAGAGTAGGACTTAGGCAGTGAGGTCATTAAGACATGTATATTGTCTACTTGAGTACTCTCTGGGAGACAGATTCCAGACAGGCTTTTAAAGTGAGTGGTGAGATGCTTGGAGGTTCTTTTCACCTCAGATTCAATGGAGCAACTGTGGCCCTTTGCTGTTTCACTGTTTTGCTCTGGAAAATGTACAGACAGTCCCTTCTAGGGGCAGTCTGACTGTGCAGCCACGTTGCTTCCTCACATAAGTAGGGATTTGGCCAGGCAAGGCACAGGGTTGAACCAAAGCCTTGGTCTCTGTGGTCAATACCACAGCAAGATGTCTATATGCCCAGAGATACAATGTGACCACAGGCTAAGAGATACTTATCACTTATGTGCTCTGCTTAGATATAAATTCTCTCCTGGAAATGCTCATGGCTGAATGAAGCATTGGTTTCCAGCTGGCACATCCAGCCATTGAGAGGTTATCGGACCATTAAGGCTCTGGCCCAGTCATTGAACTATTTATTCAGTGACTGACTCAGAATGATGAAGGAAGTGGCTGAGAGTGGGTCCAGTTGGCAGAAGGTAGGTCATGAGGGCTTATCCTTGGGGTGGCTGTGAGATGAGCACCATCTCCTTCTGCCATGATACTGTTTCATCATAGACCCAGAACAAACAGAGCCACTGACCACAACCTGCAGTCTCTGAAACTGAGCACTCCTTTCCTACCTTGAGTAGCTGTTCTAAGGAATTTGTTATGGTGAAGAATGGCTAACAAGCAGCAGCATCCCTTCTCTTTTAAATGGGCTCATGCATGTTCCAGGCTGGCTTATAACTATATTCGAGGATCTTCCTGCCTTCACTTCATAAGTGCTCAGGTTACAGGTGTGCCCCCCACCACTAATGTATCAGCGTCACCTAAGGATCTAGGACTTGAGATACAGGTGCCCCTGAACAGGTTGTCTATGGCTTCCACACAGTGGGGGCTGCAATACTCCCTCCTGGATGAGGCTAAGTAACATAACACAGGTGGAAGTACTCAGGGCAGCCATGGTGCAAGCACAGTGCACTAAGCAATAGCTCCCTTTACTATCAGAAACCTCCCAAGTATCTGGTCCTCTCACATCTGTCCTTCAAGGGATAGCTCTCCATCATCAGCCCTAGGCAGCATCCTTATTACCCTTGAGAGCATTGAGAGTACACAGAGGTTCCAGATGAAGGCAGATGTAGGCTGTGGTGGGCTGAGTCCACAGTCCTTTCTTTGGCCTTGAGGTAGTGGCTCCTTAAGCTTCCCAAATGTTAGTTTTTATGCTATTTTCGAGCAAGGTGAAACAGGAAGTTTAGTTAAGAGACTCTGGGCCCGTCAAATGGGCTGGGCATCTGATTCTGAAGAAGCAGGCCTGTGGACAGGCCTTCCGTACCACTGGCAAGAATCTGAAGCATTTATGTTATACTCATCAGTCACTTATATACTTAGCAGCCATCCACAATCACTGACCTGAGACTAAGGCAATGATGTGAGCCACAATTCTGCTCACAAGGTGCTAGCATAGTAGAGAAGGGTACAGAATACAGTAGGACACGAGGGTCATGGCTGGTCAGAAAGGACAAGAGGTTACACTGGAGACTTGATAGGAGTCAGACAGGAGTAGGGAGAAAAGCCCCTTCCGGGGAAATAGCCAGCACCACAAAAAACTTACTGAAAGGCTGAATGCTAAGCCAAGGCCAGAGCCCATTCTTACTAGACAGGAGGGCTTCTGTTTACCACAGATCCTCCTGTCTCCAGAGACTGGGATCCCAGCTCCACTCTTATCAGCAGGGGCTTGCTGGCAAGGCCTTTCCTACTCTTTGCCAAGGACAGGAGGAGATGACGAATACTATAGGCCTGATAAAGATCCAGAGAGATGAGCCCTAAATGTTCATTATTAATGCTGCATAGCCAGGAGGCTATCATTTGGGAAGCTATCACCGAAACTTTATCCCCTGAAACCACTAAGAAAAGACAAATAAAGTAATAGCACTTAACACAGGGTACAGGTCACCAGGAGGTCATCACTGTCCTGATGGTTGTCCTTGTCACTCTTCAGCCATTACATCCATGACACCAGAGACTCAACTGAGTATAAGCACCATCTTTGCAGATTACAAGACCTATGTAAAATGGATGCCTACCATCCTGCTGGTGAAGACATTTCTGTTGAAATTATGCTATCGTGAATTGAAATCATGACAAGCCTAACCGTAAGTACGATATTAAGTGGGGAAATTTAGCTAAAATACGTTTATACTTTTAAAGCTCAGTATCAAATTAGGGAAAGGACATTTGCACAACCTCCCACTTCCTCAAAGTCTTAGGACAGACAGTTAAAGGGAAGCAGTTAGGATTACCATCTGTATCTCTTCAGGAGACAGCTCATCTTCACCCTTGCCATCGCCCCAGGTTCCCAGTTCGGGTTGTGACTCAGCCAAAGGCTTTTCTGTTAAGGAAACAGTAAAGTGGACAAAAATAGGAAGCCAGCTATTTACTCAGAATAGGCAGCTGAAGAAAGAGGCATATGAAGACACCAAAAAGAGTGGAGTTCTGCAGCATGGTCCATATCGAACAGTTAGCTAACGTGCAGCAGTGGTTCCATGGCCCAGCCCATATACTGTTAAGTCTTTTCCTAGGATAGCCACATATACTAAAACATGAACATTTTAATCTAGAAAATCTCTGTTCACGATAAGGCAAGCATGAAATAGCACAGGTGCCTAGAAAGAACTGTCGACCAGCATGATGGGTATAGTCTGTACACGGAAGTAGGGCTGTCTTGGGGAAGGGAAGGGCTGCTCAGTGGAGACCATGACAAGCCTGACCCCAAAGGTGATTCTACGTTTTGTGTGTTGGAGTGTCCCTGAACTCCATCACTGTTTTGCCAGGGACTCAAAGGCAAATGCTACAATCTTTTCCTTTCCTTAGCCTCAATCCATTCCCTATTGAGCTTAGCCCTGCGGGGTAGTCAGAGTTCAGGGGTTTTGAACATCACCACAACAGAGTCTAGAGAGGGCAGAATTAGCCCACTCTGCATGAAAATCACAGGTACTATTAGAAACACATCTTCATAAACAGTGATCTATATACACCTCAGTGCAGGTGAACCAAAGCTACAGACATGAGAAAACATCCATATCACACAGCATGCTCAGGCAGAGTGGCACTGTTCTGAGCAACACTCTGGGTGTGATCTCATCACACTCACACCTCTGTGATGTCTATCTCCTACTTGGCTTCAGTATGGTCCTCTTTTCAGATTTTTCTCCTCTCCCCCCTTGAATACAAAAACAAAATAAGAAACATAAAGCCCATCATAATAGATCCAAGCATACATTAGCTACATCAGCATGGAGAAGTTCTGTGTTCTCTAGATGGTGCAACTGAAGCCCTTCTGACCTGGGCCTCAGGACTCAGCCTGAAGCACAGTGCTTACAGAACACTGAGCCAACCAGTCAGATCCAGATGCCCTACTACCTGCATCCCAGGCCTTCTGTGGGCCTGTACTACCCGCATCCCAGGCCTTCTGTGGGCCTGCCGCAGCCTGCCTCTGCAACCTTACTTCTTACAACTTGTGCTCCTCGCTAACCCCAAGGGGTAGTGACTATACTCCACATGGGCCTCCATCACTCTGGCCTTTCAGTGTTTTCCTTGTTCTAACTATTCCTTCTGCCTAAAACTGTCTAAGCTTTTTTGTTAGGTGCTGACTAACTTTCTCAGGGCTACCTCTTCCTGAGGTTCCCAGGATACTCTGCTGAACCCTGTCCCCACTTTGTTCTTCCTAGGACACTACTCTCTTCTAGGAGCTGGAATCCTGTCCTCCTTGGCAACACTGAGCTTCACAGGGGCAGGAACCATGACTCACTCGAGAAACACATATGAATACCCAGAAACTAGGATGGGAAAACAACTTACCACAGACATGAAGAATGCAGCCTTGCTGGGCAGAATGTCTAAAGAAAAGGCCTTAATGCTGGAGGAGGCAGGCCAACCAGGAGCAGATGTGAGAACTTGCTGACTAAATGACAAGTGTCAAGTGGCAGAAGGAGTATGACAGACAAGAGACCATTCCTTGCCTAGGGCCAACCATATCACCTTGTTTGGTACCAGAACATGCATATGTGGGTGACATCTCAGGTTTCAAAAGGAAATAAATACTGAAAGGCAAAGTAAGAAAAAGACACATCCACACAGGCCAGGCTTGAAAACTGTCACTCACAGAAAACCTAGCAGATGTCCACACACAGGGAGAAACACTTTCTACTGCCATGGTGGAAAGGGCAGACACACAGCCATGTGAAGGAGAGAGCTGGCTGTAGGGGAGGATTTTCACTGTCAACATCAAGCCTAGGGTAGAAAGAAGAGCCTAGCCAGGAAACAGACAGCATATGAAAGTTGGGTACAGGTCTCTCCCTGGTCTGCCTGGCCTGTTCGCCTTGTCTCGTCTCCCCTTCTTTCCCCTCCCCTCCCCTCTTCTCCCCTTCCTTCAGAGGTGCACCCAGCATAGGGCTCCACACTACCTATTTCCCCAGATCTGCCAAGCTCCTAGCCCTAAGGTCTCCCTCCTCACCCCATCAACCCGTTTCTACCTGAACACCCAGTAGGCAGGCATCAAAGGCCCAACACATTTAGGTATGTGGGCTCCCTTCCCCCACCTTGCTGTCAGATTGTACATGGAGCTACACTCATCTCAGGCAGCAATGCCCCTTCCACCACCTTCAGCCTCAGGGCTGTAAGTTACCAAGCTCCCATCCCACACACTCAAATGAACGCAGAGTCTGAAATGTGACCTGACCACTCATCAGTCTGCTCTGTGTGTTTGGCTGTGCACGTGGGGTGGGGGCAGTCTCCAGTGGCAAGTGTCTTGTGTCTGGGTTGCGACAAGAGGTTCCTGTCCAGCCTGCCAGCTTCCATGTCCCCTCTCAGCCTGTCAGAGCTTTTCAGATATAAGCCATTCCATGGCACACTCCAGCTTTGGAATGCTCAGTGGATTCCCACCGTGCTGAGGTCCTAAGGCAAACTCTGCCTCAGCTATGGGCTGTCTGGAGATGCCTCCTCACCTCTCTTCCCAGCACCATGTTGCCATTTCCACTCTGGCCCCTCTGAGGTGTGAGGCACCTTGAGGCTGTCATGTGCCCCCCGCTCACCTGTAATGTCTTTTAGGATGCTTATCTGTCATAGATAGATGTCCTTAAGAAACTGCCATTCACTCTGGTTTCAGAGGGTTTTCATTTTTGTGTATGTCTTTTCTTAATTTTTTAAAATTAACTTTGGTTTGTTTGTTTGCCTGTTTGCTTTCTAGAGACACCTCGAGAGGAAGGATGTGATGTTGGGTGGGTGAGCAGAAGCTTGGAGGAATGAGAGGAGGGGAGCCATGATCAAAATACATGTATGAGATTTTTTTTTTCAATTAAAAGAGAAACTGCCATTCAGATCCTTTGCCCATTTTCCAGCTGGGTGTGTTTTTAGATTTCAATTGAGAAGTCTCTGTGTCCATCCACGTGGATGGAAATGCCTCATGAGATATGCGGTACCATGAAAATAGTTTTCCATTCTGTGGGCTGTCTTTGCACTCTCTTGGTGGTCTTCTTTGAAAATAAGCCCCAGTGACTAGTGCTGATCTCCCTGCTCCTGTGTTTAAGCAGCCAAAGTGATGCCTACCGAGCATGGGTGGGTGTAGGGTCCAGGCGCTCTGTTGACATGTGCTCTGTCTCCTGCACGGTGCTCAGAACTGTTCACAGCTCAACCAGTCAGAAGACAACTTTTTGATCATGTGGACTCTAAGGCAGAGCATAGGAACACCACTTCTCTCCTCACTCTTAGGCACCACAGTGGAAAGGCGCTGGCATATGGACCTCACTTGTTTCCCTATGAGCCCAAAAAAGAGCCATTTCCACTAACTATAAAGTTTCTACCCCCCCAGCCCAAGGCCTGGCACAATGTGCAATGTAGGTTTGAGGTCAGCAGTACAACTGGGTATCTTTCCATAAGATGCACTGCCTCTAGGCCCTCAGTCAGCACTGGCTTTCCCTGCTGTCACCAGCCTGTATAGGACAGGCTGAGTAGGTGAAAGACTGAATGTGGGTGCTGCATCCAGCTTCAGTAAATGTAGTTATGATGCTCATCTTGTCCTCCCAGGAGCTGTGTCCATGGGATTGTGGGGAAGCCCCAGGCAGGCACAGGAGATAAACAGAACCCCTGCATACTGCACCCCAGCAGCTATGAGCCAGGAATAGGCTGAGGCTGTGCAAATAGAACCACCCACATGGAAGGCTGCTGTGCTTCTTCAGTGCTGGACTTTGAGCTGTTATATAACTTCTCTGACTCTTGGCTTCCTCATCTATTAAAAAACTCACAATAGTGCACTACTCCACCCCCGCAAAGATCCAATGTGAGTCAGGCCTGTCACTCAGTCAGGATGTGTGGAACAATAAAAGGCTCCAAAAGTGCTGTTCCCTCTGCACAAGGGGCCTCTGGCATCCTCCAGGGTGAACCATGCATGTGGAACACTTATGAAATGCAAGGAATCATGAGATAGAGGTGGGCTTGAGAGACAGACTACATACCAGTGTGTCTTGGACCTAGTATTTATGAGCTTTCACCTTGGAAAAGTAGCCTGGGTTCTGAGCCTTTCAGAGTCTTCTAAAGAAAAGAGGCTATGACCCTCCAGTGCTGCAAGAGCCATAGCCATGGCAGAAAAGATGTTCAGGCCTCACAGCTTCAGAGAGCTGCTAGGAGTGAGTGGTGTCCCATGAAACCTGCTTGCTTGCTACACCGTATGCAGGGATACAGTGCATCCCTACCCAGAGTTACATGGACTGTACACATATGACACTCTGATTTGAAGCAGACTGTGCATTTCTTTGGCAAGTACTGTTAGGAACATCACTGTGTTTATGATAACAAGAAATACAAGTCCATACTTACATCTTATCCCAAGGGCTTGCCTGGCTGTGGAGACCCCTGAGAAAGCCTGCTCTATTCTGGGGTAGCGTAGCTGCCTGCTTCCATTGTGGAGGTTTACACCACTCTTTAGCAGGCAGGCTCAATGGTGCTGCCTCGGTTTCCACCCAGCAGGTACAAGGAAAAGCAGCCCTTCTTCAGAGTCCATGTGAACGTGTGACTCCTCAGACCAAGCACTGCCACTTCTAAGCTTCTTTTGCTTTGGGCATCTATACGCTTACCACCACGGGTCAGGAACTGCTGCCTTCCCCTGCTCTATACTTCTGCCAACAGGTCAGAAGGAAGAAGCACAAAGCAAGACTTTTATCTTGATTCATACCTGGCAACTCCTCAGCAGCAGGCTTTTCTTCAGAGTCCTGGGAAGCATTCTGAGAGGCTTTCTCAGATGTGGACTCTTTCCTCTTTGTATGTGGCTCAGGTTCCAGCTTAGATCTAAAGACAAATACTTAGAAGTTATTTATTTCACCTCCCAAACAGGATCCCTTTCTGACAACAGAGAAGGTCATGTGTAACTTGTGCACTTTTGCTCTGGCCCCTCTACTGGAGTCTGGGAGTCACACGGATACATCACATGTTAGTGTGAAGGTACCATGTTGACAGTACATGGCCTTCTGCATTCTAGCCACAGCACAGTGGTTAGTATCTGCATGCACTGAGGTTGCTCTGGAGAAGGACACCACACTAAGAAGTGGGTGCACAGTAATCCAGTAGTTCTACACTAATGCAAAAATACTGCCAAACACATACACATATGTATGCACACACATGTGCACGTGTGCAGTATCTTGAACTAGTTTAATTATGAAAGTACAAGTCTTTACCAGCTAGTGAGCCAGGAAGTTCTGCATTTAGCGTTCTTCTCACCTCTTCTCATACTCCTCTGCCCTTTTCCACCCATAGGGTACACATTCAATTCTGCTACTTAGAGATCTTCACAGGCTTTCTTAAATTTTTAAAATTTTAAACTTAAGTGTTATTTATTATTTATCATTAGTTGTGCACATGTGTCTGTAGGCACACAGTCCACATGCAGAGGTCAGAAGACAACTTTTGTATATACAGCTTCTTTTTCCACTTTGTTGAGGCAGGGTCCCTCTCATTTCTCTGGGAACTTCTAGGTGTTTGCCTGTCTCCACCTCCCCATCTCACTGTAGGAGAACTGAGACTACATATGTGTGCTATAGCATTTTTTCCCTTTTCCTTCCTTTCTTTTTTTTTTTTTTAAACATGGATTCTGAAGATCAAATTCTTAGGGTGATGCAGAAAGTGCTTCTACCTACTAAGTCATCTTGCTGCCCCATTCCTCTGTGTGTGTGTGTGTGTGTGTGTGTGGTGTGTGTGTGTGTGTGTGGTGTGTGGTGTGTGTGTGTGTGTGTGGTGTGTGGTGTGTGTGTGTGTGGTGTGTGGTGTGTGTGGTGTATGTGGTGTGTGTGGTTTGTGTGTGTGTGTGTGTGTGTGCTGTCCACACGTGCATTCACCCATATGTGCATGTCTAGAGGCCAGGGATTCATGTTAGGAATTTTCCCTTAGAATTCTCTGCCTTATTTTTATTGTTGTTAGTTTGTTTTCATTATGTAGCTCTGGTTGACCTGAAACTCACTGTGTGGACCAGATCTGCCTGCCCTGCTCCCTGAGTACCGGGATTAAAGGTGTGTGCCACCACATCTGCCTTCCATTTATTATTTGAGTTCACTGTTTCATGGTTGGCCTGTGAACCCAGGTGCTAAGATTACAGGTGAGCACCACCTGCCTGGATAGTACACGAGTGTTAGGGAACTCAACTCTGGCCCTTACACTTGCAGAGCAAGCACGTCACCCTCGAGCCATCTGTCCAGGCCCCAGCTTATACAACAAGCACTCCCCTTCCTCCCTCTCCATGCACTTGTTCCTCCTTAGAGCAAGTCTGTCTGTGTGAGTTGTGTGCTGCTTAGCTAGATTAGTGACTGCATGCAGTGCTTGCTGAGATCTGCACAGGCCCGGAAAGGGGCCATACACTTACTGAGTATATGGCTTTAATGACTGAACCTTTTTGGTAGGGCTAATGTAAGAAAGGCCCTTGAAGTGGCCGTGGGGACCTTGGTCCTTCCCTTCTCTTTGTTCTCCAACTGTGTTGCCATGAGAAAAACAGGCTTCATTTGCCATGGACTGTATCACCAAGGCCAAGCAAACTATAAGCAGAAACCTCTGAAACTGTGACCCCCAACAGACTTTCCCCTTCTAACTTCTATTTTTTTTTTAAATTTCTAGAGCCAGGGTTTCACTATGTAGTCCTGGCAAGCCTAGAACTTACTATGGGATTAGAGTAGCCTTGAACTCACAGAGACCTGACCTGCCTGCTCCTGCCATCTGAGTGCTAGATTAATGACAGGCACCACCAGGACTGTCCTCCTTTTAAGTTGACTGTCATGGGGATCTTGTTAGAGAGATGGGAATCTAACTAACACAGTTCAATAAACACTGAATGAATGCTTTATAAATATGAGTAAAAGGCTAACAGAGGAGAAAACTGATTATAAAGTAATGTGCTCTAGAGCCAAGCAAAGTGGCACATGATTATAGTCCAAACAAAACACTCAGGAAACAGACACAGGAGGATTGCAGGTAGGAGTTATATGACAACCTGGGTTACAGTGTGTAGCCCTTCTAAAAAGAATCAATCACTCAATCACCAAGTAAAACACAGGCATCATAACAGCTTTACCAAAACTTATATGAAAATATAAAATTACAGGCAGGGTGCTGAAAAGACGTGTGATAGAGTCTCCACCTATAGGCCAGGTGGCCTGTGAGTCAAAGGATAAAGTCAACGCATGCTGACTGGGCCTGGCTTATGTACACCACTTAGTATTTGCCGAGCACCTAGGATATACTAAATTTTTCTCTAAGCACCTTATTGAGGGTAAATGTAGGCAAATTTATTCAACTCCAAAACATCTCTCTATAAGGTATTGGTATTAAATGACTTTTTTTTTTAATAAAAGAAGGCAACTGAGGGCACATGGTAGCTAGGCTGAAACCAGATCTCAGGGTCCCAGCTCCAGAGTCCATGCTGTATCAGTTCCATGAAGAAACTCTCTTTAACCAACAGTAACAGAACAGATGCTCATTTAATGCCCTCCAGATCCTGACTAGACAAAGCACAAGGAAAGAGACAAGTGTCAACAGCAGAAACCTTACAAAGGACCTGTGTCAGCCCAGAAGGAACTCCTACACAAATTAGCAAACAACAAATGATTGAATGACAAAGTGTGGGAAAGACTTGAACAGATATTCTGAAGAAGATATAGAAATCATCTCTAAGCACACATGAACAGGTGATTAACACAAACCAAAGCCACAGTGAGATGTTCCTGCACGCCCACAGTAAGAGTCAAAGTATGTTTGATCCACACAAATCCTGGGAGGATGAGGACGAATCAGAGCCTTGCAGAGCTGGATGCTATGTAAATGCTGTTACCGGTGGAAAGCTTGGCACCGTTTCTCACTGAATCCAAGAGTGTCTCCACTGTAACAAAGCAAACTCACTTTGAGGTGCTTTCAGGAGAGAAAGGGAAAGGCAATGTCCACATGGAACAGTCAGCAGTCACTGCAGCCTTACTCTACAGAAAAAACTCTGGACAACCCATGCCGACCAACACAGTAGGGAAAGCAATGGTGTGTGCACACAGGGCAACGTCCTCATCAGCAGACAGCAAACCACAACACTGAAGCACAGTTACATTTTGTAAGACATGTTAAGAAAAAGGAAGGCCACATACAAACAACTAAGGGTCAGGAAGCAGGAAGCCGGGCTCAGGGCACAGTGCTCACTGAGCACGCCTATGGTCCTGGGCTTGACCCCAGTACTGCAAAACAAACTCTAAAGAGACCATTTTAGAAACAGATAGGACTTAGTCTGTATTTAACATTAAGTATATTAGTATAATTATAAAATGAAATATTGCTTAACATTTTGTGTCAAATTAGTCTTGCTAATTGCTAAGCAGACACTGAATCCATGGACCATTGGAGATGGCTGTCAGCAACACAATACCACAAACCCTAGTTTAAGAGTCTGGGTCTTGAAGTCATGAGCTGAGTAACTACCATGAAAAAGACATTCAGAAATGAGGTGTGGATACAACCATGGGCTTGATTCTAGACTACCCCTTACTGTGTGTGACTGTGGATATATTTCATTCTCAGCATCTAGAAAATGGGGAAAACTCTGCCTTTTAGGTACTTATAAGGATGAAATGAGATCACCCAGTAGGAAGTGCCTAGGACTCAGCTCCCACTTGGTTCCTTATTGATAAAGCTATTTTTGCTGTTTTTCATCCCCATTCCCTACCCAGAGCTCAGTCCTGCTTTTGTTTTTCCTTCAGCTTTTGGGACAGTGAGTAACATGGCCCCTAACAGTCTTGCAATCACTCCTACCACTCAGACTTTGTTGCACAGACGAAATAACAGAAGCAGCTATCACCACTCACTGGGCTATAAGCCTGCTACCCTCCTCTAGTTTTCACTCCAGCTGTCTTCAATATGGCCAGTAGAAACTCGTTCAGAGCAGCTGCTGTCATCTTCAGACACATCTGCCATTCTGTAATCCTTCCCTTATTTCCTGATATAGTACAGAAATGTCCCTGGCTCATTTCAATTTCCTTAATCCAGCCTAAGAATAGGTCATTTCTCCAGAAAGCCAGGTCTCTCAAACCTGGAAGTGGTACTTAGAAACCAACACGTGTGTGTGTGTGTGTGTGTGTGTGTGTGTGTGTGTGTGTGTGTGTGTGTGT